GTGCCCCCCCCCCAGCTCTCCCCTGTCGTGTTCTGCATCACCCTGAAGGAGAGCGGGAGCCGCCGAGGGGGCACCGGGAGGGGTCCCCGCCGCAGACCGGCACACGGCTGGGATGCCGGCTGGGAGCTGCCGCTTTGCCTGCGCCGAGGTGAACGTGGGTGCTGGAAAGTGTTTCGTGGGCCCGGTGAAGTGCTGAGAAACGGTGGGGCCGCGTTGGAAGTGATGTGACGTGACTGGGAAGCCGCGACGGGCGGCAGGTGGCTGGTTCACACCAGCGCCAGGGCTGCTTCACCCTGACCCCGATATTTGTTTGTAAAACGAGTTCTGTGAAGGCCTTTTCTTCTTCAGATGCCAGAGACCGCCACTTCTCCCGCAGCCGATCCTCCTGGCTCAGCAGAGCTCCCGCCTGGCGGGGCCAGAGCCGGGACGAGGCAGCAGGAGGGACCAGCCCGCCCTGCTGCAGCAGCGTGGTCCCGGCAGCCACCCGAGGGGCCAAGCAGTTTCTCTTCTGGACTTCTTTCTGCTCTTTGCAACAGAACAAGGTATCCGTGTGTCAGGACCGCGGCAGCCCCCCGCCTCCCCCAGCCCAGCCCTGTGCTCTCAGCAACACCACGGCGCTTCGTGAACGCAGCACGGCGAGCTCCGGCTCCTCTCCCTCCTCTGGTCTAACAACTGATATCAGCTTTATTTTCCACGTCACTCACGGCACAGCTAAAGGCATGCACTGCTCACGCCGAACAGGTTTGCGCAGCAAGGTCGCGAGCATCTCTAAGCGAGGCGTGTTCACGGCTTGTACCGTCGGACTGCCGTCTCTCCGCAGCTGCACCTCCGTCTTCGCGGGCAGTCGGGGTTCACCTCCAAACCGGAGGAGTTTGGCCCCTTTGCTTCCAGCCCACGGGACTCAGCGGAGGGTCCCATTCTCCCTGCTCTGGATCAGAGGTTTTTCCTGCCCGCAGCGAGAACGGGGTCCGGTTTGCCAGCACGTGCTGGTGGTGCTGCTTCCGCTGAGAGCCAGGACACGACGGGAGCTGGCGGCCGGGGAGCTGCCGCCAGCACGTGCAGCCTCTGGGGGAGGGCTACAGGACAGGTGACATGCACACTGTGTCTGCTCGGGGGTCTCGTGGTTTTTTCTCCGGCCAAATGCAGACAGCGAGGCGCTGGAGGATGTAAGCAGGCAGGAAAAAGAAGGTAATGGGTTTCCTTCCCGCTCCGGGGCCTGGTGCCACGAGCAGGGCTGCCTGCCCTGACGTGCCGAAGCCATCCCCACTGACACCTTGCTCGCTGCAGGGCCGTGGCCGTGTCAGCCTGCAGCAGACTGCAGTGGGCAGGAGGTGTCCTGAGAGGACGGGTGACAGCTGGGGACGGTCTCCTGCCTCCAGGGCCATTGTGGATGTAGCCCCACTGCCTCCTGGCCCAGCCAAAATCACAGCTTCAGAAATATGATTTAAAATGATCAGGCCATCAGCCATGCTCTTCTGAGCCCTTTTCCAGGCAGCTCTCCAGGCGTGATTTAATTGCCACGTGTACAAAGATGGTCAGGTGGCATCAACCATCTGTCCAGCTCCCCAGCCCTGGTCTTGGGCTGACCCAAGTGGGGGTCCTTGCCCACTCCCAGCCTGTGCATGGGCCGCCGGGTTGCCCACCCCGCTCCTCACCTGCTTGAGAGACCCTGGTGTCCAGACGAGCTTGTACACCATGTAGAAGGGGATGCAGATGAAGGACGATGCTTCTATGAGGTACCCCACTGAGATGCTCCACTCGGGGTACTGGTAGTTGAAGAGCATCAGAGGTGGCTGGTCCAGGAGGGAGCTGATGACTATGAACTGTAACGAACAAAGCGGAGGTCATTAGGGAAGGATGCTCATGGGGCCAGGCTATGGCAGGACATGCCCCACTGCCTGTCACAAGCAGCACAGAGCTGTACAGCCCACAAAACCCATGCGCACACAACATCGGTGACCAGAAAAGCTCTTTTGGGATGGCCGAGCATCCCTGGCAGATGAGCCCCTTGGTTCCCCATGGAGACCCAATCAGCTGTGACATCTCCCCAGCCCCGGCACTGACCCGGCTCATCCCGAGGTTAACACTGCCCGCGTCCCACTGCCACCGCTGCTTTCCTAACTGCGAAAGGCCAGCGTGGACATTGCGGTGACATTTCCCAGACTGTCAGCCCTCGCTAGGCATGGGCTGGGAGGTCTTCACCTAACAAACCCCACAGAGCCGGTGGCCTGCAAAGGCTGCACGTCCGCGTGCTGAAATGAAATCATTTGCTGTCTGCTTTGATTATAATACTTCTCTCTTAATAACCTGGGCAAAGCCCTTAGAGCTGTAATTAATCCTCACAAGGCCTCTTCTCCTGCAGATCCAGTGAGATTAGACCCCTGTGCCTCTGTAGACGGCAGCCTTTGAAGTGCCGGGGGAGCTGGCATTTCAAAGGGGACGGATCCAGCCTGGCGCGCAGCACCACAGTGCCATCAGAGACGCAGCCGTGGCTGGCCGTACCAGCACGAGCGTGGGACGCCACAGACCAGGAGGATGAAACAAGGCTGCATTTGCGCCCGTGTGAGCACCCAGCTCCCAGCTTTGCCTGGAGCTGCAGAAGAGGCTGGAAAATGTACTCCCAGCTTGCTTTCTTGGTGAAACCCACTGTCCCAGGGGCTGCAGGCAGCTTGTCATTGCCCATGGCTGGAGCAGCAGCATAGGGAGCCGGCAGGGAGGGCTGGCATGAGGTCCTACAGCCCTGGCCAGGACCCTGGTCCACCCTCCTGGCAGCTTGTTCACCCCATGCAAGCGAGAGGGGAGTAATCAGCGGCACAGGTCCCCAGGGAGCTGGGCAGCAGCAGCAGCAGCTGGCAAGGGAAGAGCAGCTCCCCTGTGGGGTGTTCAGAGGGAGGCTGACAACCTGGTCTTTATTTTGGGCTGTAGATACTCACTGCCAACAAGGCAGGGCTGACGGCGACCCAGCACACCTTCCAGAACATCCCCGGAGTGAAGCCCAGCATGGCTTTCACATCGTGGGAGAACCTCTGTATCCCTGCCAGAGAAGAAAGCCGTCATGGCCCCAGAGACCCACGGAGGATGTGGGTACAGGGGCGTGGACACGATGCCCTCCGTGCCCCATCCCAGCCTTGCCAGGAGTCATCACATACATGCTTCTTCCCCCAAACCCCCTAGCATTTACTCACGTACCTAAGGTTAAATACCCCTGTAGGTGCCTGTGGGATGTTTTTCATAACAGAGGCAGTTTCTTACCATAAAACCAGGAGACAGCTATCGTTTCCAGCAGCACCACTGCCAGGATTGAGCAGCCAGCACCGAACTCCTCCAGCAGCTTCACCACATAGGCTCCCCCCTGGAACAGCACAACGGAGGGGAGGGTGGCTGCAGACCCCGTGGGGATGAGGAGCAGGTCTTCAGCAAAGTCCTGTGCCAGGGGTTGTTGGAGAAACAAGTAGGTTTGTGGTGGGGACGGGAGTGGAGCGGTGCCCAGTGGTACTCACGTAGGTGAGGGTGCTCAGGGAGCCCAGGAAACAGACTGTGATGAGGCCGAGGACGAAGAGCTCCCGTCGCCCGGCCAGGACCTGAGGGTACTCATCCATCACAGCCGTGATCACAGCCTCCAAGCCCCCAAACTGCAAAGGAAATGCCAGCATGAGGCGAAGAAAGGAGTTGTGGGGCTAGTCCCATTCTTGGAGAAAACCTGCTCCCCGCAAGCTCCCCTCTGCCCGTGAGCAGAGTGGTGACATCCCATCTTATCCCCTCCCTCCAGGGTGACTGTCCCCTCCGATGGGCTTTGGGGGAGGCCAGCTCAGACCCACTGGAGACGATGGTGCAGTGCTCCCTCTGTCCCCACGCTCAGAGGGGTCGGGCAGGCAGGTCTCCTTCCCGAGGCCATAGTTCCCCTTGTCACCCTGCTATTCCCCGCCAGCCATTCCCAGTCCCTCACACTCAATGGAGTTCCCTACCGTGCTGTCCAGCCCCAGCGTTATCATCATCAGGAAGAATATGATGGCAAAGAAGGTGGATCCCACCATGTTGGCAATTGCTTCGGGGTAGGTGATAAAAAGGAGGCTCGGCCCTAGGAAGGGACACTGGTTTGGTTTGCCGTTCCCCAGCTGCTCTGGCACAGCCCTGGGTGCTGGCAGCGGTGGGAACGCGCGTGGGCAGGATGCCCCAAAGCCAGAGCAGCTGTGCCTGGCCCTGGCTGAGATACAGGGGCCAGACACCTCGCTGTCCTCCACTCCTGGGAACTGCTCCCAGGCACAAGCCCCCGCGCCCCAGCAGACCCCAGGACCGGCCATCACCCCATCCCTCCTCAGCCGCGATGGGCACACAGAGCCCAAGGGCAGCTGGTCACCGCCGGGCCAGGACGGAGCAGTCGTGCTGGAGGGAGGCAAACCTTTGTCTCTCGCAACATCCTCCACCTCCACGTCCCTCATCTCAGCCATGTAGCCCAGCACAGTGAAGATGACGAAGCCCGAGAGAAAGCTGGTGAGGCAGTTCACGGTGCTGGTGATGAGCGCGTCCCTAGAAAGCAGGGAGATGTGTCCTGCAGCAGAACCCCCCCTCCAGTTCAGCTCTCACCCCAGCCTGGCTGCTCTGGTCACCTGTACTTCCACCAGTTCCCTCTCCTGGCCCTGCATACCAAAACCATCAGTAAAACGGGGAAAGATGCTCAGCCTGCAGCCGCAGGGTGCAGGAGCTGTCTGGATGTGGCTCCGCTGTAGCCATGCCTGGTGCAGCCCCCGTGCCCACCGGGACCCATGGCTGTGGGAGCTCACCGGTAGCAGTTGTTGTGGAAATGGTTGTAACTGGCCAAAGCAAGGAGGACACCGAATCCAGGGCCCAAGGAGAAGAAAATCTGTGCAGCAGCATCAACCCAAACCTGGCGGGAGAAGCAACGGGCAGGCTGGAGAATGGGCAAGGCAGGAGGTACTTGAGACTGGAAGGTGCCCCATGGCATGCCCACCCCATGGCACAGGGATGGGGTCTGTGTTGGCACATACTGCCAAACCTCCCCTTTTGCCTGCTTCATCCCCCTATGAGATGTCCTGGGAGCAGGGGAGCTGCCGTGGGACAGAGGGAGGTCATTTCCACCCTGAGATCCTGCAGCAGCAGAATAAAGCAACGGTATCTGTGCTTACTCATGCCCGGAGTGGGAACAAAGTCGAGGGGAGCCCCGAGACCCCCGTGCCCAAGTTCGGCGCCAGCAGTGCAGCCCTGATTACCTTTAATGAGAATTCTCAAGTGCTGCCTGGTAATTACCCACAGGAAGCCTATTGTCAGGCCGGGGGCAGAACATGGCACAAACAAAACCCAGCAGCAATGAGATGGGTGATTCAATTATAGATTTACATTTCCAAGAGCCTGTCCAGGGTGCCTTGTTTCTGCAGGAACAAGGGCCCCATCGCCCTGCGGCTCCAGCGGTGGGACCAGATGTGGGCAGGGGTGGGTGTGTGTCCCGGGGAGGGGGTCTGGGTGCTGCCGTCCCTGGGGTGGGGGGCAGCCAGAGCCGGGGCGGCACGTCCTGCTGCGCACTCACCGCAGTGCTCAGGAGCTTGCCCCAGTCCGGGCGCAGGTAGAAGATGACCCCCCTCCAGGCGCCGGGCAGGGTGGCCCCCCGGACCAGCAGGACAAGGAGGACGACATAGGGCAGCGTGGCCGTCACCCACACCACCTGGAGAGAGGCAGCTGTCAGCCCGCAGCACCGGCAGGGCTGCTCCACCGAGCACCCAAACCACTTGTGTTGGGCACGGCTGGCTTGCTCGTGCCTGCCTGGGGTGGCCGAGGGGTAGGGGTGTGGGGAGGAGGCAATATCCCGTGTTTAAGCAGCCAGGGGAGATGCAAGACCTCACCAGGGCTCCGTCCCTCCTGCCTGAGCCTGGCCGTAGAGGGGATGCTTGCGTGCCAGGCTGCGAGCTCCCATGTGCCCACGGCTCCGGCATTTCTGTGCCTGGGAAGGGCTGGTGCTGGAGCCCTCTTTCTTACCTTCCCGGAGGTTTTCACCCCTTTCCACAGGCTGAAGTAGACAATGGTAAAGATGAGGAAGAGGCAGAGGAGCAGCTGCCAGCGGATGCCCCCCACGTCATACAGACCCCCAGACTTCTGGATCTCCAGGACCTTCCTCCTGCGGGCAGGGACCCCCGTGGCCGGGGAGGGTGTCTCAGGCCGGCACGGTGCTGCTGGGTCTGCCCTTGCAGGCAGCCAGGCAGCGAGCTCAGCCCTGGGCAGGCAGTCCCACGCTCACCTCTCCCCCAGCACACCAACAACGGGGACGATGAGCTCCCCAAGAGCATCCTCGCGTCAGAGCCTGCTTCCAGGCACCCCGGTCCTGCTCCACATGCAGCAGACCCGAGTGCCTCCACGGGAATGTCCCCCAGCTTAAACACACCATGCACTTACGTGGACTTACGTATAAAACTCTTCAGCAGGGGACCTGGAGAAGTTGGTCCAGGTCACATTGCTTCTCCCGAAGTAGTTGGTGCAGGCTGGTGTGTTCCAGGGGTTGTCACAGCTCGCCCAGGGCAGGGTGCCCGAGAAGGACGAGTAGAAGTAGTAGAGAGCCCAGGCGATGATGGTGTTGTAGTAGAAGGAGACGTACAGGCCAATGATGCAAATAGCAAAGCCGATGCCTGGGGAAAGAGGGGGCCAGACTCAGCAGCCCACGTGGGTCCAGCCCTCTCTCCGTCCCCTGGAACATGGCTGCGGGGACCTGCACGGCCCTGCTCACCAACACTGCATGGCCCCAAGTCCTCAGCGGTGGCCTGGGGCTGTGGGGGCTCTTACCTTTAAAGATGGGGCAGATGCGCTTCCAGATGGGGATGGCGCCCGTCCTGTGGAACTGCCCCAGGGCCAGCTCCATGTAGAAGAGGGGCACCCCTCCGAAAACAGCCATCAGTGTGTACGGGATGAGAAAGGCTCCTGCGGGGCGAGGAGCAGAGCAGCAGTGACCACCATGGCTCTGCGCCGGCTGGCAAGCACAGGCAGGCTGCGGGCTGGGGGCTGCCACTGCCGTCCCTCCCAGAGCTGCAGAGATGTGTCACAGAGGAGCATGGCTGAGGGATTTGGGCGCGTGTTTGTAAGATGCTTTGCAAATTATCTGTTCAGAGGGGCTCATGGGTGTCAGGACCTCGGTTGGTGTGCCAGCTTTCCAGGCTGCTGTGTCAGTCCCCACTGGCATCCCAGCCTTCACCGGGGAGGGATCGTTTGGCTGGGATGGTACAAAGAGCAATACAAACCATCAGGGTGCAGAGGACAGGGCACCAAGCACCTACCAGGTCTAGAAAAATTTTGGAGAAAATCCTGCTGAATATGCACGGTCACCCCAAGACACAAATAATTAATGCTGTAATCTGCATTATTCATAACAATGTCATCTTTACCAGGGCTACACTTGTACCCCATGGAGGTTTTGGAACTGGAGCTGCTCTCTGTGCTCGTCAGAATAGCCCTGTTGGGATTAGTTAATTTAACCCCCACGGCTCCTCTCTCCGAGAGCCCTCCACGCACTCCACCCTCAACCCCTCAAGGGTTTCTCTTCTAGGAACATCTCCAGCTGATGGGTAAGCCCACCACCAGCCGGGATCAGCACTCCCGCTCTGCGTGGACCATGGCTGTCCTTTCCAAGAGCTGCTGTTTGAACTCCTCACCCTCCTGTGTGCATGGCAGGGCGAGGAAAGCATCTGCCTGAACCACATCAATGAAGAATGGCTAAAGTTTGCTCCCAGTCCCATAGGAGTAAATCACAAATAACTGCGCTTCAGTGTGGGCACCTGGGATCCATGTTTTAGCCTTGAGTATGGTACTAATTATCTCCTTCTAATTTTCCCAAGCAGTAGAGGACGTTACCCAAATGCCGACTTTGGCAATTAAATCCACTGTGCATTTGCAAACAGCACAAAATTTTCATTCCTCATTTTAATTTCCATGCAAGGGTTTTTTTCTACCCTGCTCTATTTAAAGCAATTCATTTAAATGTCATTTACTCAAGGTTTTTCCCTTCATGGAGCTTTTGTATCTTAACTTTCTGTTGATCGCTCACAGGATTGAACACCCCAAGCCCTGTGCGGCATGGGGCTGAGCGTCCCGGGGAGCTGGGGCTGCTCTGTGGGGTCCAGCACTGCCGGCGGCATGGCTGGGATCTGCGGCAGGCAGCTGGGATGCTTGCGAGGATTATTTTAAAACATGAGCCCTCAGAAAGGGTTGCTTAAGTCACAAGATCTTAAAGGGTATGAACCTCCCACCTCAAATTTACAGATTCTTAATCTTTTTATGCAGTTTGGACCATGCTAATTTTCTCTTTGTGACCCCAGAGCTGCTAACGCACCTCTAACCATGCTGGGGAAGGAGTGAATGACACCGGGGAAGGAGCAAATGGAGTAGGATTTTGAATGAAGAAAGACACAAAAAAGAAAAAAGACAGGTGTCAGGAGAAGTTGGGTCAGTCTCTAAACTGCCCTGTCCAGACAGGAGCAGCTAGAGACAAAGAAAGAAAAGAAACAGCGAGTTTTTCAGCATTGGAAAGATGAAAAACAGATTTCTTTTCTCCAAAAGAAGATTTAAATAATCCTAGTGGTGTCCTTACCCCCTCCGTTTTGGTAGCAGATGTAAGGGAACCGCCAGACGTTGCCCAGATCGACGGCGAATCCGATGACCGAGAGGAGGAAATCCATTTTTTTGCTCCACTTGTCCCTGGGGTGGCTTTGGGGCCCCGGGGGCGCGGGGCTGGCCGTGGGACCCAGGTGGGGGGCCGTGACTTGCCGGGGAGGGCTGGCGGTGGGTGCCGGGCAGGACTGCTCTGCCATCCTGCCGCCCTGGTAAATCCTGCAGGATTCAGGCTGAGTAACTTGGGGAAGGGAAGGATTTTTCTGTTGCTGATGACAGATCCGAGGAGGGGAGGGTCAGGCTGACTGCGCTTCCCCACCTCCCCCTGGAAACCCACAGCACCGAGAGCAGCCGGCAGAGAAACCCATCCTCTGATCAAAGGCAGGAGGGGGGAGAGCAGTTTTCCGAGCGCAGGGCTGAGGACCAGCCTCACCGCATGGGTTTCTGTCCCCTATGCTCCCTGGGTCTGCACCCCGGGTGGGTGAAGTTTGGGGTTGGGGTGGGGTTGGTGAAACGGAACCGTATTTGCACACAGAGGTGGTGGTCCTTCCTCCTAACAAATAGGTATTTCTTTCTCCTTGGTGTATTTTGCAATTACTGCTCTGCGAATGATGACACCAGACCCACCAAAGGCAGATGACCGCTCATTCTTGCAGGGGAAGCAAGAGGCGCCTGGAAATTTCCCCCTGGCCGGGAGGCAAGTGCAGAGCACAAACCCAATTGGCACTCACTGGGAGCCCACCAGACCCTTGTGGGCCGGGGGCATCTCTGTGCACTGCCGGGAGCCAGCACCACTGGCACAGAGCTGCCCGGTTTAAGTCATCCCGCATCGCCCTGTCTGTCCTCATGGACTTGCTGGGTCTTTCTGTAGCGCAGGGGTGTGAGTTGTTGCCACTCAGAAGTGAAGTCATTTTTGCAGCTCAGATATGATCAGGGACGGGATGGCAGTGTACTGAAAGCCATTGTTCTCTTCAGTTTGACAGTTAAACAGCAAATTTCATTGCAAATGAAATGTGCCTGTGAAGGCTTACAGCTGGGGAAGGTCCCTGCATCTCACCCCCAGCTGCGACACGGGGGCTGCTGCCGAGCTGTGGACACATATTTAGCTAACGGTCACAAGAGCATTCCAGACGCCTTTAGAAGGCCTTGAACAGAATAAACAAGAAGACAAAAAAAGAAAGATGCCAATTAGAAGAACACAGGTGCGCATTCCACGATAAAAGGAACTTGGCACAAACAACCTCAATTCGGCAGTTTATCTTGACCGATTAGACTGAGACAAGTTTCGCATGTTTTAGTTAGTATAACCAATTATGTCTTATGTTTATGCGCGTGTACAGTGTTGATATAACCAATCATTAAGTGTAACTAGGCGCGTGGACAGTGCGTGAGTAATGTGTGTAACCAATAGTAAAATAGCTAAGCACATGTACAGTTGTAACCAATGTATAAAATTATGTCTGATGCTCTAGTAAAGGGTCTTCAACTATGATCATATTGATCTGTTGTTGAGTCCATGATTATGCTCCCACACCGAGCGAGCTGGGTGCTCCCAGGGCTCCAGGATGCTCCAGCACCAGCATTTGCAGGCACCCTCATCTGTAATTAAAAGAAACTACAGAAGAGATCAAACCAGGAGCTGCTGTTCTTAGGGCCATGCTTAGCAGGTTGCTGTGACGACGTGACGCAGCTGCCCGGCGTCTGCCCAGTACGGGAAACTTCTGGACACTGTTAATCCTTCAGGCACTTGCATGGAGACCTGTTAGAAACGTCCAGTTAAAAACACTTTTTTTTTTTTTTTTGGTGTGTCTGGTCCTGGCTGCCTGGGCTGTTGGATGGGAGCAGCTCAGGGGGCTGATGCCAGTGCCCGGTCAGACATCCCAGTGCTCTGGGTGGCTGCGGCAAGGCGGGCAGGAGAGATTGTGCCTCAGTGGGTTTAGTCCAGGCTGCAGTGGCACAGTCACCCCGGGGCTCTGCCAGGGGGCATCAGCCCACCAGCTCCTGGCCTGCACAGCGTGAGCATGAGAGTCCTGGGAACAGGATTTCTTTTGTCTTAACCAGCTATCCCTCCTTGCCCTCCTGCATTTGGCTGCCCCCCCTCTCCCCCCCTTGCTGTGTACCCCCAGGTGTTCCCTGACCCGGAGTGGGGACCCCAGCAGTGGATTCCCAAACTGGGGTGCCCAGCCCGGAGCTGCCCCCTCCCAGTGGGCAGTGATGGGTGATGGATCTGCTCTTGCCACCCGCCTGCAGGCTGCGCTCGGCACAGCTTCTCCCTCTCTGCTTGTGAAATCATCATTCGTTTTAACACCTCTCATTTGAAAATGCAACAATTTTCTGCTTGGGGGTATACGAGGAGGGACTGGTTACAGGTCTTTGCACGTGCTTTTCTCTGAGCCAAGGGGTTTAGTTGGAGGGTGTCATGCTGATTCCACGTATTGGTCCCTGCACTGGGTGGGGAGCGAGTGGAGGTTGGGGGGTTCCCGTCAGATCCAGGCAGAGCCCCCCTGCTCCGTGAGCCCGGATGCACGTGGCCTTGCCGGGCTTTGCCGGTGCGGCTCTCTGCCAAGCTGAGGCCTGGCACACAGGTAAGGGACGATTAATCTCCTGCAGGTTTATATGGGATTTGTGTCACTCCTGGGGCCTCGCAAAGCCGTGAATTTCAGTTGCAGGCCTTGTAATACTGGTGCGGGCACAGCCGTCGGAAATTAGAGACAAGGCTGTACTCAACTGCTGGGGCTGCGGGGGGCTGGCAGAGGGGCCGCAGTTGTCCCTTGCTTAGGGATGAAGGGGAGAAATCCCTGCTGCTGGTCTGATCTGTCTGAGGAGGCTGCTGGGGGGAGCAAGGTTTAATCCCCCCCCAACCGAGGACCATTTTAAGAGCATAAATGGCAGAACAGAGACAGCTGGTGCCATAGCAACTGTAAAAAAAACAATAGCTCTTTCTCTGTAGCTGACCCTTCTTTTCTCCGGGTAGTTTACATGGAATGGCTTGGTGTGCCAAGTATGGAGACCCTCCTGCACCCCGGCCCCACTCCCTGCTCAGGAAGCCTCAGCAGATCGGCTCAGAGACTCTCCCAGCCCAGACGGGAGGAGCTGGCTACACTGGTGGGGGGGTGAGAGGCGGTCTGTGGTGGTCTGCGGTGGTCTGCAGTGGTCTGCGGTGGTCTGTGGGGAGCAGGTCCCCCCACAGCATCCCCCAGTGTGGGGTGACAGGCTGACACCACTTCCCGGGGTGTGAAGCAGCAGCTGTTCAAACGCTGGCATCTTTTTAAAACTAAGCTACTTGCTCTCCTGAAGAGCCTCTCCTTCTCTGCACGTTGATCTTTTAAATTTTATGAGGTGGGCTTTGTACTTGCACCTTGGACAGATCTGAGCATGCAGAAACGCCACTAGCCAGGCATGGCCATAGCTATTCCCAGAATAGCTCCAAACCAGAGCTGCATGGTGGTTTTGCAACACAGGGATGTGCTGCCTGCACCTTGCCATCTGAAAGCTCCCTATGCCGAGGCACCGACCGGTATCAGTTTCCCAGCACGCCAATGCTGCTCCGCTCCAGCCAAGCCGATGTGCCACGCCGTCAGTTCGATGCTGCTGCTGCTGTTCCAGCAGCTACCATCCCTGACAGATCCCCGCCCCGGGGTCCTCACTGGCGAATGAGCCGCAAATGCACCCGGCGTTCCCATCCCGCTCCCCCAGCTCCCACCTTCTCCTTGGGTGCCCGATTGCCCACCCGTGCCGCTGCCCACTGCCTCTCCACTCTGCCCTGCTGATAGGGCTGCCTCTTCCCCAGCATTGGGTCAGGGATGCTGCTGTCAAGTCAATGAGGAAAGAGCTTTGAAATCTCAATTTATTTTTTTTTAGAAGCTGCGAGCTGGAAAAGCCATTGCAGGTTCTCAGGGCTGCTGGAGAGGGGAGGAAGGCAGAGGGAGAGGTGTCTTTGGGAGATGGTTTTCATTGCAAGGAGTTGCATTCCCCAGACTCAGCTCCGGTGTCTTGGGACCCTGTGAGCAACCAAGCTCGCAGTGGGATCCCGGCTCAGTGACCCTCTGGAGAGATGAGTTTTCCCCAGAGTTTTGTTTATTCTGGTCACAGTTTTCCAGCCCCTGTGTAAGGGGCTGTGTGTGTTGCTCCAGCCCGGCCCATCAGCTGTACCGCGTGGGGCTCTGTGTGCTCATCAGTCACATGCCAGACAGGGGTGTTTTCTGGGTAAAATGTTGTTATTTTGCCAATTGTAGCCAAATATTTTTGTCCATCCTCTGACATTCGATTAGAAGCATTTCAGAGGAGGCTATGGAGACTATGTGGCCTTTGATATAATACACAGCTGAAGTCAGGAGTGCTGGATCCGAGCATTCACTTTGGCCCGTGACTAGGAAGGGGCAGCCGGCAGGCAGCTACGATGGGGGTCTCTGCCTTTGCTTTATTGCAGCTCATGCTCTGAAAGCAGCTGGTCCCCTGCACATCAGTCATCATGCTGTCTAAATACCTGCAACATCACGGTCAGATGTATTCCATGTGCTCCCTTCATCAGTTTACTTTTGCTTTTTCCGGTTATTTTCTTTACTCAAAGCACAAATCACTTTAGATTTAAAATGTAGAGTTTTAATCTAGCTCAAATCAGATTTAAGTTTGAATTTCCATCGAGTTAGAAGCTGTTTCTAAACAGTACGATTATTTGATTAGCAGATTGCTTTTATCCTACCTGCTCCATCCATGCAACGAAATGCAGAGGAGTGAATTGTGGTCTTAACTATCCTGTTTAAGCCACAGAGGCAGCAGTGGGAAGTTTAATTTAATTAGCATGATACTCAAAGATGTAACTTAATCACATTAAGTATAGCTCAGCGTGCTCTCATTTAAGCTCTTCAGACTTCAGAAAACAGGGGCCAATCATCTCCCACCCATCTTTAATCCCGGAAGAAGCAGAATTTTCCAAGGAAAAGGAACCAGCAAGGCTTATGAAGAGCTTGTCCCTGTGCTTGTTTAAGCTAATTTCTCCCCAGAGGAAGGTCATAAACTAGTAATAGCTCCCACCCCCTGTATAGCACCGTTGCTCCTGGGGAGAAAGCAGCCAGGTAGATCACGCGTTGTCCCTCTCAAATGGCCTAAGCATTGCCTTGCTTGGTACGCGGTCCAACAGCAGTGCAGGCACCATCAACCACCTGAACCTCGCTGGGTTCGTTTGGCGCGTGGATGCTGC